GGGAGCAGCCTCGCGGGCCCTGAAGGATTCAGAATAATGTTGATACCTATTGTTTATAGAGTGCTTACTCTGTGCCTCCGTTTGCCCATCTGTAAAATGAGATCCAGATGGTACCCCCCAAAAGGATGGCGTGAGTCAATAAATGGGCATATGCACAATGCTTGGATAGTGCCTGGAACATCGTGAGTACTCAAATGCTAGGTTCTACTATCTCGTTTAATGCTCACGACAGTATTATGAGATAGATGCCATTATGGTCCCATTTCACATATGAGGAAACTGAGGCTTGGAGAAGTTCTACAGTGGGCGAGCGTTAAAGCCAGGACTTTGATCTGCTGACTTTCAAACCCCCCTCCCCCATCAGTTTTTCCCCTAAACACTTGAGGGGGGAGGTTTTATCATTTAACCATCTGATGTTCCTGTCAGCTTTGCCTTTACAACTTATCCGGAACCTGCCCATTTCTCCCCGCTCTGTCTCCACCCTGGTCTGGTCCCCACTGTTGCTCATCTGGATCAGTGTGCTTGCCTCCCTCTCTGGCTTTAGTCTTTCTTCCCTGAAATGGCCAGAGGTAGCCTGGGAGCACCGAAGTCACTTCTCCTCCCGCCTCTGCCCCCAGCCCTCCAGGCCTCCCACCTCCCTCTGGGTAAAAGCCCAGGTCTTCTCCGTGGCTCACAAGGCCCTGCACAAAACCAGGCATACAGCAGGCGCTCAATTAACATTTGCTACATAGACATATGGTAGAGTGAGGGAGGTAGCTGGTGTCTAGGAGAGCCTCCGGGAGCTCAGGACACGGGTCCTTCTTGCAGGGCGAGCCTGTGACCTTCAGTGAAGAAGCATTCTTAGCTCAAAAGCCCGGATCTCCCCTGCAGACCTTCCACCAGCGGGCTGTGCACCTGCAGCTGTTCAAACAGGTGCGCCAGAGCCCTAAGGGCGGAGCTGGAGCTGGAGAGGCGGGGCTAGGGACGCAGACGCCTGGGGCGTGGGGCCAAAAGTCGGTCTGGCCGGATCTCCCACTCCAGGCTGGAGAGGCAGGACTGAACTCGGTTTCTTAAAGATGAAAGCCCCAGCCCTGACTTCCTAAGGGACAAAAATGTACTCCTTGGTCTCTGGGGAGATAAGGCTGGGGCCAAATTCCTGGCTCCGGTGTGGGAGTTTGTGCCGGCCTTCAGAAGGGGCGTGTCCTGAGTGCGCACCTCCTTTGGCGGGGAAGGAGGCGGCGGGCAGGGGCTCCTGGGTCCTAGGGACCTGGGAGGGGATGGGAGCGGGGCTAGTAGACTCCTGGGTTCCTGGAAGAAGCTGGGATGGACTCCAGGATCTTTCAGTGCGGGCATGGGTTCAAGGGTCCTGAAGGTGGAGTCGACCTCTTCCAGGGTCACTGAGAGGTGTGCAGCCTGGAGTGGCACAGAGTCCGACTTCCGGGTCCCTGTGAGGGGCGGGGTCTGGTCCCTGACTGCGGGTCCTGACCTGCGGGGCTCCTGACCTCCTGGGTGCTGGGGATGGGTCCCTAGAGGAGTCAGGAATGGCTTTTACATCTTGAGGGAGAGAGGACTCCTAGTCCTCGCATTCAGACGTGTTGGTGGCAGCCCTGCATCCGACTTTCTGACCCTTTCTCTCACCCTCAGTTCATTGAAGACCGGCTGCAGAAGCTTAACACAGGAGAGGGCTTCTCAGATCTCTTTGAGCAGGAGATTACCTGCAGCGGGGCCTCCTCAGGTGAGCCCTGCACCTAGCCTGCAGTCCCCACCCCACCAGCAGCACCCCAGCCTGAGCCTGCCTGTCTTGACCACGCTCTTTCCTCATTCCAGGCGCCCTTCACTCTTACCAGGCCTGGGCAGACAACCTAAAGGTATTAACAACGAACACTTGTTTAGTTTATTATTGGATTAATTTAATCCCACAACAGTCCCCAGATAGAGTCATCATTTGCTCATTTATAGAGGTGAAGAAATGAAGGCACAGAGAGGGAGAAGGGCTTGCGCAGGTCACACGGCACTGGGCTGAGGTGGGGTCCAGGGTAGCCCCAGATGCCCAAGCCTCCCTTGACATTCTCTTCCCAGAAAGGTGGTGGCGCCCTCCTGCATTCCGTCAAGGCCAAGACCCAACCAGCCGTCAGAAATATGTATCGCTCGGTGAGACTGGGCTAGACAGGCCGTTTAGTGGGGTGACAGAAGACATTTTAACCTCATATTTAAAGTGCAAACATTTGTATCAACTAAACCAGTAGTTAAACCATTAACAATTTTTCCTACTTTTCCATTTACCATTCTCATTTTTGTTGGGATAATCTCCTACATAAAATTGATGACCAAGATTCACTGGCGGGGTTTTGTCCTTCTGAGACACTGCAAACCCCACTTCTACACTTATGGGGTTTGTTTTTTTTTCTCAAGCCCAAGTTTCCTGGGGTCAACTTTTGGCAGCATCAAATTGTCCAATTTTATTCTTCACTTGGCTTTTGAACACAAACACATTTTTACGATGTTCTGTTTTTGCCACTCCCCGTTTCATTTAGGGGTTGTCCCCAAGAATATTCCTTCTGTATTTGTAAAAGGGGCAAGAGTTTGTACTGACTCCTTAGGTGGTGTATGGGGAATTGTGAATACTATATTTTATTCTGTATAATGCACACTTTTTTGCCCAAATTTTTGAGGGAAAAATAAGGATGCACATTATAAATAGGTATTGCTAATTCCATGTCTATATAAATGTTTTTAATTCTTTTATTTATGCTTATGTATTAAAAGTGTAACTCTAGAAAGCAATGACGATATCTGTGTGCAAAATAATACCCTGGAATACAAAAATCGGTTTTGTTTCTAAATACAAATACATAAAAAATTGAATTAAAAAATTAAAACAAAAGATTTTTTTCCCTGAAAGTTTGGGCCAAAAACATGGGTGCACATTACACATGAGAGTGCATCGTGCATGGCAAAACATGATGTATGTGTGAGACACAGACATGAATATATGGCAAGACGCAGCTGTCTTAGGGAACAAGGGGCTGAGTTCTCAAATACCCAGTGTCAAGTCACCTCAAATCTACTTCTCTTTTGGCTCCTCCATAGGCCAAGAGCGGCTTGAAGGGAATGCAGAGCCTCCTGCTGTACAAGGTAAGGCTGATGGCCAGTGGCCCCAGGGGGAACGGGGAAACAGGTTCCTGGCTCACCCACCCTCTTCCTAGGATAAGGATTCTGGCCTGCAGAGGGGGGGCTCCATGAGGGCTTTGTCCCTCACCAGCCGCTCAGATCACCTGCAGCAGCGCCTGCCGATAACCCAGCACTTTGGACAGGTAAGATGCCCGACCCCGACCCAACACACATACTTGGACTTACCACCAAATCATCCTCCCATTCCCAGTCTCCATCAAGACAGGTCGCCTCCCTCCTCCTGTACCCCAGTATCTGCTGACTGCTTCACACTCACCCTCCTTCACATAGTCCCTTGACTCTGTAGCTCCTGGGGCCCCACCCTCCAAACCTATCCTTTGCAGAACCGGCCCCTTCGCCCCAGCAGGCGACTCCAGCTGGAAGAGAAGAGACCTTCTGAATCCCTGCAGGAAACGTAAGACTCAAAGGCAGGGTAGACGGCAATGTTGGAATTGGGAGGCCAGGATAATGGGGAAGATGGTCCCCAAAGTTCAAAACTGCTGGGGATCTTGGGCAGATATCTGAAACTGCCCATCCCCACCCAGGACACCCCCTCTGAGCCCTGACGATGCCCAGGACTCATGGGCAGCGGAAGCTCTGGATAGCAGCTTCCTGGGGTCCGGGGAAGAACTGGATTTGTTAGGTGAGATTCTGGACAGTCTGAGCATGGGACCCACCAGGACGAGCAGCCTGAGGCCCAGCCAGAGCTTGGACTGCTGCCACAGAGGGGACTCGGACAGCTGCCTCAGCCTGGTGAGCCCTCCAGGCCTCCCCTACTTGTCCATCCAGTTGCCACCCCTTACCCCATCTAAAGTGCAGCAACTTGCTAATCGCCCCACCCCTGTCCAGCCCAATTTGCCAGGAAGACCAAGATGGCAGCCAGATGAGGAGGACACCCCAGAGCCCCAGCCCCAGTCCTTGCCTGCCCACCTGCCATCTCCGCAAACCCCCCAACCTCTGGATACCACGAGCTCCTCAAAGAACCTCACTCCCCAGCCACCCTCAGAGGCCAGCCAAGGAATCACTTCTTCATCCCAGTCTTTAACAGCTTCTGCAGACCCAAGTGGCAGAGAGGACCTGAAGTCCTCTCTCACAGAGCCTCATCATCAAATCCCACATCTCTCCCCTCTCTACAAGGCAGCTGGAGACCCCACAGCTGAGGAGAGCCCCTGCTCTCAGCTCTACACAGCACCCACCGAGCCCACCCCTCCAGAGAGCCCCCAACCTCTGGTCCCCACAAAGCACAACTCAGATATCACCTGGACATCTCAACCCCTTGACGCTTCCTCTGATTCCGCTTCCACAGAAAACTCCAGAGCCCAGCTTTCCGAGGGCCTGCGAACAGGGCAGTCTCACCTTCAGCCCCCCACGGAGCCAGGAGCCCCCAGATTCCCTGCCATTCCTGATAGCAACTGGCAGGAGCCTCAGGCCAGAAGCCGGCCCAGAGTTGCTGAGCTTAAAAAGTGTTTTGAAGGTTAAGGATCAGGAATCTGGAGGAGACACCATTCTCTCAATAAAGTCGCAAGAACACAAAGCTGGTTTTTCCTGGTGAGTTTACCTGAAGGTCCTATCTCTGCTCAGAAACCCACCCCATCCACCACTTCCCTATTGATGCAGCCTCCAGCTGGCTCCTAGGGGTAGCAAAAACCCCTTCCTTCCAGGAAACCCTCCCAGGATCCTTGCAGCCTTTCAATTCATCCCTCCACAGCCTATGAGCCCTGTACTTGTATCCTCCATCTAGGCTAATTTCTGCCTCCACCAGCTCAAAAAAAGGCTTTATTATATCTCACTACCAATTTTACATATATATATATATGTATATATATGTATATATATATATAGTGAGCAGCCCCACCCTCCCTTGCCCTCAGGGGCGGAGTCTTTGAAGCACCTTTTCCCTTCTGTTCTTAAGAGCTGGGCTGGATGGGTTTGAAGGCCCCGAGAGGGATCAGCCTCCCCCTAAGGTCACACAGCAAGGGAGGGAGATGGATAGAGGAAGGGGACCTAGATGGGCAGGCATCCCTGCACTTTCTCCTTGGAGTCCTGGGGAGCCTGGGCCTCGGTTGCATGAGAGAACTGAAAGGAAAGAAGAGGGGGGGTTGTCGGACCTGTGTGGAGATGGTGCAGCAAGCAGGAAGGCAGGTCCCTAGCCCTGGCATCCCCAATTGCAAGCAAAGTCATGCAGAGGAGACATGCTTTGCAGAGCCCCCCGGGCAGGTGCCCCGCGGCCCCCAAGTCCAAACTGAGCCATGAGAGGCTGGTGTCTTGGTGGCAGATGCTGTGTGGGAGAAGGTGCTAGGCAGTCCTGGGCAGTGGCGGCGGCTGTGGCGGGCCCCAGCGTTCAGATGAGCCGCTCCTCAGGAGGCAGCTTGAGGTTGGGGGGTGGTAGCTTGCGGGCACCCACCTGCTCCTCACTGCTGGGCCGGTAGGTGCCTTCTGTCTGCCGCTTCTCCCGCAGCTTCCGCACCAGCAGCACCAGCCCCACGGCCAGAAGCAGGGCGGCCAGGAGGGAGAAGACCACGATGATGGCAGTGGTAGCCTCCTTAGACTGCGAGACGGGGGACGGGTGTGATTTTCCTGAATCTGGGGATCCTGTCCACTCCCACCTCAGAAGCATCTGCGTTCCTAATGCCCCCACCCACACCTGCCCCTTCAGGTGATCTGGTTCCTCCACCCTAATCCCCATCTGTCACATTTGGGACTCCCAGTCCTCTATACCTTCCATGTCTGGGATCCCCTTCCCAAGCACCTGCCACATCTGGACTCCTCACCTCCTTCCCCCCTCCTTCTGAGAGGCCTGTGAGGCTCCTGACCCCCTATACGTCCCACCCTCTACTACCTTCCTGAGGTACTGAGTCTCCCCAGTTGTCTTGTTGGTATTCTGGTCTCTTGGGGTTCTCCAGTGCCAACCCCCACCCTGCCCTGCCACCTCTGGGGATCTAGGACTCTTCATCTGCTACATGTGGACTCCTGAATACCATCACTGCTGCCCTACTGCCATATATACCCCCCAACTCACCAGGGCCCCATTGAAGTCGGGGTGTGGGGTGGTAGAGGTGCTATTCTCATATGCAGCAGTGGGCTCCGATGCTGTGGGGAGGCGGTAGAGAGGATGAATGAAGCGCCTTCTATCGTTCCCATCTTGGCACATCTACACCTTCCTTGAGGATTCCCCTTACCACCCCCCCATTAGAACTCTGCCATTCTAACTGTGGGTGCTCTGCTCATAGGAGCAAGCCCAGCTGTGTTGCTCCTCTTACCACCCCCCACCCAGTAGAGCCCAGCAGTGAGTAATCAGCCCACAGTAGTTTGCAGTTCGCACTGAGTCGGGGTCTATGGTAATGGATGGTGTCTGGAAGCCCAACTGTACCCTTCACTCCCTTCCCCAACCCCTGGCCTTTCCTCGGCCCTTAAAGATCTGGACAGATCCTGCTTTTACCTGGAGTATCTGTTTTATTCCACTCTCTCACCCTCACCCCAGGCTCTCAAAACTGGAAGAACTGAATGACTGGGTCCACCCATATGGCCATCCTGGTGGTCATCCTGTGCTCAGAGCCCCAGGCAGGCCTCCTCCAGGCTCATGGCCAGCCCAAAGCACCTCCACTACAGAGACTCAGATATGCAGGTTTCCTCTGCCCCCAGCTCATAATTCCACTCCAGTCAGGAACTCAGGAATTTTAGACCAACTCAAACAGTCCAAGGAAGGACTTAGGAATTCAAATTCCCCAGCCCTGACCTTGTAGGTTGCTGCCCCAAGGCACTCCATGACTGCTCCCCAGTTCCTGACCTCTCAGTATCCCAGGTCCCCAGCACCCCTGCCCGTACCTACCTTGACCCCAGGCCCGGCCCCAACGGGCAGGCAGCAGCGACAGGCCGAGCGCCAGGAGCAGCCCCAAGCTGGGGCTCGCCATGGGCCGGGCGACAGGCTGGTGGCACCAGGGACAGGGCTTCTCGCGCGCCGCTCCTACCGCTCCTACCGCATCTCGGGCCGGGGGTATTTGCGTCTTGGCACCTGGGGGCGGGAGACGGAGAAAGGCCAGGGCGTGGGGGAGGAGGCTGGACCCGGGCGCAGGCCCAGGGGAGGGGCGACCCGCGCCAGGGCACCCTGGAGTCCAACCCCGCCCCACCGCCAGAGGTCAGAGATTAAAAATTAACTCGGGGAGGTGCGTTCCCGGCAAGTGAAGGGAACGAAGGAAGCGGGCAGCAGGCCAACCAGTGCGACCTGCCTCCCTACCTGGCCCGGGGTCTTAGATCTCGCTTAGGTTCCCGGTCTGGCTCCCTCGCTCGAACCCTCAGCGCGTCCCCCGGTCTCTCGGTCGGACTACACCAGCTCCTCCCGCTCACGTGACCCGGAAAGTTTAGTCACTCACCTGGGAAGCAAGCGCACTTCCGGCTTGTGCACCTGAACAGCGATGAGAGGGCGGAGCCAGAAGGGAGGTGGGGCCGCGCCTCGAGCGCACCTGTAACGGGAACCCAATCCTGTAATGGGGAGAAGTAAAAAGGGATGGAAGCGCGCAGGTGCGATAGGCAGCTCCCACCTGTATTTCGGGCACATCTGTAGGACCTCACAGGTGTGGAGACATACGAGGCATGGAGACACCGAGGTATGAGGCATTTCTGTCTGGGGCAGGCCAGATGGGGAGTCCCTAACCTGCGTGGTACACACCTGCATGGGAGTAAACCTGTAGAGAAGACATCTGCAGGGACATGTAAGAAGCACACCTGTGGGAGACATCTGCGTTGAATCATATGTATTTGGATTATAGCTGAATAGAAGCATCCTGTGTGGAAAACAGCTGTATAGAACAACTGCATTACAGCAAACACCTGAAGGAGGCGCTCTGGTGAATGGTTTTGAAAACGCACCTGCATGGCTTACCTATGAAGTGAACAGCCCTTGTATAACAAATTTCTTTGTGGAAATGTATCAGCAATACCTCTATGAGACACACCTGCATTGAGTACACCTGTATGGGAACCAGTTATACAGAAAGAGACCCATATGGGTGTATACTTAACTGGAAAGCACCTGTGGGGTGGAGGGACATAGTATAACGCATTCCTGGGCGGATTTCTTTTGAGAAGCATTACCTGTGAGGTGAAGGAAATAGTCTTGGATGAGGAACATCTTCATAGAATTGAGCCCAAATGAGAGAAACACCTGAGAACATCTGTATGAGGCACATTCTCATGGAAGTACATGGTGGGGTGGGGGGACGCAGCAGGAGAGAGGCTCGTGTGTACTGAGGTCCACCTGTCAGGGAAATATCTGAGAAAACCTGTTTGGGGCATATTTATAGGAAAACATCAGTATCCCCACGATGGAGGACACTAGTAAGGACCATCTGTAAATGCAAACAGCTGCGAGGGGACCCTCTCTAACAGGCTTGTTTGTCTGGAACTCACCTGTTTGAGCACATCTATGTGGGCAGAAGCTGAGTGGGAACCAAGTGTGTCCTAACGGCTGTATCTTTGAATAGAGGACGACGTTAATAAGACGATCTCCTCCTGGGGACTGTAGGGTGAATAGTGATGGTTAAGAGGAAATTAATCCCTTTTAGGGTATAGAGCGATGCGTAAAGATCCCAGGTCTGGATAAATTCCTGCTTTGCCCTTACTGAGCACGTAGACTGGGGAGAGCTCCATTACCTCCTGTTTCCTCATCCGGGAAGTGGGAAAGCCAGTCCCACCTACCTTATAGGTTTTGACGAGGACGACACGAGAGGTGAGTAAAAGGCCTGGCATGTGAAACGCACTGAATCTGTTAGCTGTTGTTATTATTCGCTGTCTAGTGATCTGGGCGCCCCTCCCCCTAATGATGACTCGAGAAACTGCGCCCGAAACTAATGGGAGGGATATTGGGCAGATGCAGTGAGCGCGACAACCGGGGGCCCAGCCTTCTGTGCGCTCTGCTACCCTGTGCGGGTCCCGAGCCGCGCCCGAAACACTGAGACCCTCCAGGATGGTCTGGACCGAGCAGTCTGCGGGGTTTCTGGACAAAGCCGCTGCCTCTTTAAGACTGCCTGGCAAGCGGAGGAAGGCGGAGTCCGAGGCTGCCCACGGTGTGTGGGCAAGGCGGGGCCAGAGGGCACAGCTCAAGGGTTCTGGCCAATAGGAAACCGACTTTCCAGCGGGGCTGCACGTTGATCTTTTGTTTCTCAGTCTGAGTGGGACGGAGAAAGAAGGGGTGAGGGCGGGATTTAGGCACCGAGTGAGTGCCTTGACCAGCTCTTAGGTTTCTGAGGCTGAGGGGGGAATGCGAAATGAGTGAGCGGGCAGATGCAGGATTAGGTGGCGTTGGACTGGTTCTTGAGTATGTCTGGGAAAAACAAGAACTTTAGTTTCTGAAGAGGATTAGTAGGGAAGGGAGATCAGAGGAGTTTACGAAACCCAATCCCCGACATCTTCCTACTTTGTCTCCTTGGGCAGAAGGGAAACTGAGGCACACAGAGGCGGAACACTGAAAGCAGAACCGAGACCATTAACTTCTCTAGCCCCTCTTCCCAGAAAGAACCCTGATGCTGCCTAGGCTGTGCCACACCCGAGCATCCTTGACATCCCTCCGCACTCCCCCAGCTCCGCCCCAGCCCCCTCCCCCAAGAGGGTCGGGGGAGGTGCCGCAAGTTCTGACGCGGGCGGCAACGGCTAGCAGTCACCGCCTCCAGCAAGTGCCAGAACCAGGCTCGCCGAGCGCAGGCTGCGGTAGCGGTGGCCTCGGAGCTGGCCCTGCGGGGCCCCGGGGGGGAGGGGGAGCTGCGAAGCCCCGGCTGAACTCGCTGCTGCCGGGCCTCCCCTCCCCCCCGGGAGGGCGCCATGCGGGGGGGTTCGGGCGACGCGGAGCGGCGGCAGCGCTGGGGTCGCCTCTTCGAGGAGCTGGACAGTAACAAGGACGGCCGCGTGGACGTGCACGAGTTGCGCCAGGGACTGGCCCGGCTGGGTGGGGGCGACCCAGGTCGCGGCGCCCAACAGGTACCCCCGACAGGGACCCCGGCCTGGTGAGCGGCACTCGAGCCCTGGGGGCGCCGGGTAATCCGAGCTCCTGAATGGAGCGACTGGATCCGTCAGGAACTGTCTGTAGCTGGACTCCAGCACCTGTGCCCAGCCGGGGTGTCTCTGTTCTCTTCCCCGTGCCCACCCCTATCTGGGCCGAACAAGTCCTCTCAAAACAGGGCTACAGAGGCCCCTGGCATGAGGTTTGGCTGGGGTCCCCACCCTCAACCCCAGGGAGGTAGGGGGTGTCTGCCTGAGAATAGAGTCTGACCCACTTTCCTGCCCACTGCCCGGACACACCCTCCTGTGAACTCTGAACAGCCCAAGACATACCCTGCTCCCACCTCTAGGATATGCACTCTCCCCCTCCCCCTCCTCTGGGCACCCACTGCTCGACCAGCCAGCTGCCCTAGCCTCTATGTTTACATTCCTGCCCTTTCCCAGGCCTGGCTCAATGCTCCAGGCTGCCACAGCCAGGGACCCAATCCAGTCTGAGGCCATCCTCAGCTGGAGATGCACCTATCAAAGCATGAGCTTGCTCCTGGGCCCATGCAGTTGTTCTCCACACCTGTAGCCCCAGGTGTCACTGGAATGGCTCCATAGCATCCTGACACCTCCAATCCAACCTCCCACTTTCCAGGTGGGAAAGCCAAGCCCCCACAGCTGCTCAGCTTGGATCTGTCATTGCCCCACATTGCCCAGACCTGTCTGTACGGGGAGCTCCTGGAACTGCCATAGGGACAGGTTTTTGTAAGAGACAGCTGGGAGGACAGGCTTTCAGAGACAAGAGCCCAAGGCCACCTCCCACTTCCCAGCTCTGTAACCTTGAATGAATTACTTGACCTTGGAGAGCCTCAGTTTGCTGGCCAGGAATACTGGATAACTGATACCCATCTCACGGCCCTACTGTGGTCTTGGACATCTTATTGAGGAACAAACTGATGGAGGGAAGGGGTGACTTCCCCTGTCCCTGTCCTCTAGGCACTGGGGGCCCTGGGTTCCTGGGGTATAAGTTTGTTGTGCCCACTCCAGATGGGGGAGCAGCCTTCTGGAGCTCCCTCTGTCCCCTTCCCCCTGCCAGGGCCTCTCCCCAGAGTCTGGTGCTGACCCAGATGGCGGACTGGACCTGGAGGAGTTTACCCAATACCTGCAGGAGCGGGAACAGCGCCTGCTGCTTCTGTTCCACAGTCTGGACCAGAATCAGGATGGTAAGGCCCAGGGATGGGGCTGTTGGGGCCCTGGAGATGCCGATGGGGTTAGAGCTGGTGATGCCAGGAGGAGGGGTGAGGCCGCTTCTCCCTGATGACTCACAGGCTATTTTGGGAACCCTCCTCACTCTCAGCTAGGTGGTTCATGGCCCAGCCAGCCCATCCCACCTCCTTTTCTTCCTATTATATACCCTTAGACTTTTCAAAGGGACAAAGATGCCCCTATTGCTCCTAGATTTCCTATGGCACAGAGACCCCGCTCCCCATCGCATATTCTAGGTCTCCAATATCACTTCTTGATCCCCTATGGTGTAGGGAGTCCTACAATTACTCCTGCACTCACACCTTCATTCATTCATGGAACAGAGGATCCCCCAACATTGCCCAGTCCTGCTTCTCAGGTTCCACTGGGTCGCGGATTCCCCAACCCTGCCACAAAACTCACCCTGGGTTTCTGGACTTCTTGGTCTTGCTAGACCACTCCCATTTCAAACTGCCCTGCTCCTCAGTCCCAAGATCTACCCCCCCCCCACCCCACCCCCGCACACACCCTTCACCACCTTGGTTCCCAGGTCACATTGATGCCTCTGAGATCCAGCAGAGTTTCCGAGCTCTGGGCATTTCTATCTCCCTGGAGCAGGCAGAGAAAATTCTACACAGGTGAGTAGCTGGGGCCCAGAATCCCAGGTAACTCTGATCTCCAGGACCCCTTGGCCACCCCGAGCCTCTGGGCCCCAGACCCAGTACCAGGGTGGGCAGGTGGAGCTGAGAAGCTGAGCTTTGGAGCCAGGTCCATCTTGGGTGAGTTCCTTCACCTCCCTGAGCCTCAGTCTCCCCCACTGTGAAATAGCGAGCTCTCAGTGCAGACAAGCTTGGTCTACCCCTAAATCCTACCAGAACCTCACTCCAACCCACCCCCAGCCCCAGGTACTGATTCTGTCCCACCCCTCAGCATGGACCGTGACGGCACTATGACCATCGACTGGCAGGAATGGCGTGACCACTTCCTGTTGCATTCACTGGAGAATGTGGAAGATGTGCTCTATTTCTGGAAGCATTCCACGGTGAGGTGGGGGTGGTTTTCCCAGCCTAGTGACAGGGCCCTCTTCCTCCTCCCCGGGGGACCTAGATCTGGTCTCCCCAGGGCAAGGGGGGGCTGGGTCAGGATGCTCTCAAAGGAGGAGCCACTGGGAGCAGCTGCGGGATGAGACTCAGCTCCTTGTCTTCTCCATTTGGAACTCGAGGGACTGAGGACCCATTTGGGGAGGTCTCTGCAATCTGATTGGAGCCCTTCAAACTTGCTGCAGGGCCTCTGAGAGCAGGCTGTGGGGGTTGGGCACATGGTGAAGAAAGCTCACCAGATGGGACATGTGGCCTCCCACCCTCAACCGACAAAGCTCCCCTTCTGCTTTCTAAATGCCCCAATTAAGGATTCTCTTGCTAAAAAGACAGGTTAGGAAGCCACTGTCTTTGGAGAGTCCAGTGGGATCTGTTGGAATTTGGGAGGGGTGCTCTAGGTTTCCATTTCCTGGGTGGGATTTCCTGAGCCATGCTTATGGTAGAAACTGGTGGCATGTGGAGGGGATCCATCAGTGGGATATGGTGAGATCTTCTTGGGAGGTCCAGAGATTCATGAGGAGATTCATGGAGGGGCTTAGTTGGGAGGTCTATAGGAGGGTCTAAAGGAAGAATGATCCCTGTGAAGGAAATCCCTGTGGGATTTGGTGAGGCGCTGGGAGGGATCTGCTGGCTTTCTTATATGAAAGGTCCCCTGTAGGATCTTGTATGACCCTGGAAGGATCTTCTAGAATCCTTATGGGGAAGACCCTTGAGTGGGATCCTTCAGATGGATCTGATTGGCTCTGGAGGTATCTTTATATGGCAAATCCTTCAATAGGATTTGGTCAAGGTCCTCAAGGAGGGATATTAGGATCTTAATGGAAGATGACTTACTTGGATGTTTTGGTGGGATGGCAGGAATCTCCTGGGCATTCCACACAAGATTTATTGATGGACTATCTGGGTGTCCAGGGATTCTTGGAGATACTTTTGTGTGGAGCTCAGTTACATCTCTCCACCCTTGCATCCTCAGGTCCTGGACATTGGCGAGTGCCTGACTGTCCCCGACGAGTTCTCAGAGCAGGAGAAGCTGACTGGCATGTGGTGGAAGCAGCTGGTGGCTGGTGCAGTGGCAGGTGCTGTGTCGAGGACAGGCACAGCCCCTCTGGATCGCCTCAAGGTCTTCATGCAGGTGAGGGGCTCTGGAGAGACCTGCCCCTCCCCCAGGCCTGGGCCCCTGGCAAAGACACCTTGTCTCCCTGCCCAGGTCCATGCTTCCAAGACCAACCGGCTGAACATCCTGGGGGGCCTACGGAACATGATCCAAGAGGGGGGTGTGCGCTCCCTGTGGCGTGGCAATGGGATCAACGTACTCAAGATTGCACCTGAGTCAGCTATCAAGTTCATGGCCTATGAGCAGGTTGGGGCAGTTGCAGGGAGGCATGAGCTAGAATGTGCAGGATTGGCTTGAGGGTGGGAAATGTCTGCAGGTCCCCAGGAGTGGTCGTCTGTTCTCCTGCATGATGCCCATGGGAGGAGAACATTAGAGGGCATGTCCAAGTGCATGGAAAGCTCAACCCCTGAGGTCACCACCGTATCTCCTGCCCTCAGATCAAGCGGGCCATTCGGGGGCAGCAGGAGACATTGCATGTGCAAGAGCGCTTTGTGGCTGGATCCTTGGCGGGTGCCACAGCCCAAACCATCATTTACCCTATGGAGGTGAGAAGGAGGCACCCTGACAGAGGCCCCATTGCGGGGGGTGGGGCGGCGGGGAGGGGGGCCTGCAATAACCATTTCACTTTGTGGTATGATAAGCATTGGGATTATAACTTTGCCTCTTCTTGATTCAGACTGTATGTAGCTCATTACAGCAATGATGTTTCATGTGTAGCCTCTCTTGGTACTATACTTAGAGATGTTGCTTCTGAGGATGGTAGTGTTGGGTATACCTGTTTAGACAGGTACATTGTGGAGGGCAGCTGTTTATGGATATACCACTTCTAAGGATGCTGATTTCTGGGGAATCATTTCTAGGTAAAACTGTTTTCAGAGAAATTATTTCAGGTTTCAGGTGGTGTAGTGCATCAGGATTCTGAGTGATGAAAAACTCAAATCACATTAGTGAAATCAGCAGGTGGGCAGTTCAGTGGTTTCCAAGTGTTAGAGACCCAGATTCCTTCCCACTATCTTGTTCCACCACCACAGCATGTGGCATCCACCTTGTGGACAAAAATGGCTTCTTGTGCTCTGGTCATCACATCCATATTCCAGCCAAGAAGGAAGAATAGACAAAGGAAAGAACATCTCTCTGCCTTTCAGAATGCTTTTTGAAAGTCACACATAAATCTTTTCCTTCTGATTCTGTTTCATTGGCTCGGACTTAATCACATGGCCCCATACCTATGGAAAGTGAGAAATGTAGTCTTTATTTCTAAAAGCTGTGGGCCATCATTTCCTGAAAATTATGGTTTCTATCATTAAGGGAGAAGGGGTCAAGATATTGGAAGAGTGTTAGCAGTGGCTGCCCCATGCAATTCTGAGAGGTGTAACTATTTCTAGGTATGGAGATTAAGGATAGCAGAAGATTCTAGAGAAAGTGGGTTTTTTAAATTCTCTTATTCGCCGGGTATCTCCTTCCAGGAATAGCTATTTCTAGGTGTCTTCATTCTTGGATGTAGTGATTCCGGAGGCAGCTTCCCAGGGATAATCCAGTTCTCCCCAGGTACTAAAGACGCGGTTGACCCTTCGCCAGACGGGCCAGTACAAGGGGCTGTTGGACTGCGCATGGCGGATCATGGAGCAAGAAGGGCCCCGCGCCTTCTACCGCGGCTACCTGCCCAACGTGCTGGGCATCATTCCCTACGCAGGCATCGACCTGGCTGTCTATGAGGTCTGTAGGCAGCCTGCCCCTCCTTTCTTCTCCCCTCTGGGGTGGCTCGAGGGCCATCCTCTTCCTGTGGGGCTGACTCAGCTGACTTCCAGAGTAGGAGGGACCATCCTGGGGTGGGGATCCTGGGGACCTTTCATGCAGTAGGCATCCTCACTCCATCACTTACCACTGCAGGGTGGCCTTCCAGGGACTCAGGACACGTGATATCAGGGCCCACTTCAGTTCACAGAATCATAAGAGCAGGTGCAGATGAGCTTCACAGATGCCTATTTTGCCCCAAAGCTTGTATTAGACCTGGTCTATATCTCCAGGCCATTGTGTTCAGGGCCCACCCATTTGAGCATCTGTGTCACAATGAAACCCACACCCTATGACCAGCACATTGGGGCATTTGTCAGGAAAGGCAAAAAACGGAGTTTCGCTCTTTCTCTTCCAGGGGCCTCATCCATTGCTTTTACCTTCTGATGGGATTGCCAGGCTTTCCCCAGTTAGCACAGCCCCAGATGTCCCCAGGCATCCCCCAAAATCTCTGCATCCAGGGCAGGGTCCGCTTCATGGGCATACAACATCCAAGGGCTCCGACTCAGAAGGGTTCCTCACTTGGTTCAAAGCTCTCCTGTTGCCATCTTGAAATTCCTAATAATTGTTAAAGGAGGAACCTTGCATCTTTTTATTTTGTACTGGGCCCCGCAAGTTACATAGCTGGTCCTGATCTAAGTTCCTCCATATCTGTCCTCCATACTTGCCCTCCCAGCACCCAGCATCTATGCAGCCAAATAAGACATGGCTATTACTCATTCATTCATTCACTCATGCACTCATTTCCTTAAGCAGCCGTATATGCTGGGCACTGGGCTGGCTGCTGCATGAAATGAGAACAAAACAGTCCTTGCCCTCCCGGACCCCACTTCAATGAAGTAAGAAGCCAGTCAACAAGCAAATAAGTACTTTGGGGTCCTGATACACTCTCAGAAGATAATTAAACAGGATATGTAATTGAAAGTAACAGTGGACGGGAGGGCAGGTCTAGGAATGTTTCTGAGAGGTGACCTTGAAGCATCGATGAGTTGAACATATACGGGAGGGATATATTTGTGAGCAAGGCAGAGGGCACAGTGCATGCCAGGGTCCGGAAGCAGGAATGAACTTGTCCTTTCGGCAGAGAGGAAGTTGTGAGTGGCTGGAAACAACTGAAGAGTCAGCAAGGACCCAATGAGAAAGAGTTTGGGCTTATCTCTAGTGCAAGAAGAAGCCATCGAGAGCTGTGAGCAGAAGATGCAACCTCGTTTCACTCATTCTTCACTAAAAAAGGGTCTTAGGATTGAGAAACCTGTGTCCTCTTTAAATTTCAAAATCTGTTAGTCCCATAAAGGCTCTGAGAAGTCCCACTAAAAAGTAACATCTTTTTAACCCAGTGTTGGCCATACTTATCAGAACCTCTTTTCAACAGAACATCTCTTAAAAATTCATTAAACACCTATTTGGCATAGACTGCTCCAGATCCAAGAGAAGGCTATTTACGATTGTGAAGGCAATAATGGTAAAAACACTTGCTTCTCATGCGCCCATTCCCTACCAGGCTAGATATCACTAATCACAGCACTGGAGTCTGAAATGGGTCTCACTCAGTTAAAGTCAAGGGCTATGGTCCTTCTGAAGCCTCCAGGGGAGAACCTGTTTCCTTACCTTATCCAGTTTCCAGCAACCACCTGCATTCCTTGGCCCATGGGTCCTTCCTCTAGCTTTAAAGTCAGCAGCATAGTATCTTCCAATCTCTCTCTCTCTCTTTCTCTCTCTCTCAGTCTCTCACTCACCCCTGCCTCCATCATAACATCTTCCCTGACTTTTTCAAGGACCCTTGTGACGACACTGAACCAACTTGGATGCTGTAGGATCATCTTCCATCTCGAGGTCCTTAACTTAATCCCATCTGCAAAGTTCCTTTTGCCACATAAATTTCCATATTCACATGTGCCAGGGACTAGGGCATGGGCAGTAGGGGGTCCGTCATTCCATATACCATAAAGGATAGCGGTGGGGACTGAGTGAGAGGGTGAAGGTAAAATGCCTGCGTTGCACCCCGGGGTACAAGTGCTGAGCTAGTACCAGCTGTGATGGGATACAGAAGCCAGCCAGCAAGGTGTCCAAAGCCAGGGTCTTGGTGTCACCCACCTCCAGCCCAACCTATTCCCCTCTTCACCCCTGCCAGACCCTGAAGAACCGGTGGCTCCAGCAGTATAGCCACGACTCAGCTGACCCGGGCATCCTCGTGCTCCTGGCCTGTGGCACCATCTCCAGCACCTGTGGCCAGATAGCCAGTTACCCCCTAGCCCTGGTCCGGACCCGTATGCAGGCCCAAGGTGAGGCCTGGGCAGGGGAATGGGGCAGGGAAGGTCTCACAATTTGGGTCCCATCTCCCCTCCCCCAGACCCTCCTCCTGGGTAGATGGAATCCTAGGCTGCAATCCTCGTGGATTTGGATGGCTCTGACCAAGTCCTGACCTCTCTGTGGGCCTCAGTGTACCCACAGGTGACATTAGAATGGGAGCCCTTTGCCCTAACTAGGAGAACAGATGCAACAAGTGCTGGAAGGGCCCTCGCGATCTTAGCTGGGAGGCTGCTTGATAGACTTCAGCTAGCACATTTGGGCTGGTAACTTGAGATCTAATTTGCAAGGCTGGGTTAGTGAGGGGAAGGTGAAGAACCAGGTTAAGGAGGGGCAGGGCCAGGCTGGCTGTCGTTTCATTGTGTTTCTCTGTAGTTTTCTTTCACAAGATCTTTCCCTGCCTCTGCCCTGTTATACTGGAATCTATTTTGAGACTTTCCTAGAGAATTTTAGTGTTCGTGTTCCATGGTTTTCACTGGGGGTTATCAGTGCATAAGACAGATGTGGCCCCCTACCTTCAAAAAGCTCACAGGCCAGAGAGGAAGAAAGATGCTGAATAATTCATTCCACAGTTGAATATGGATTTAAGGTTGAATACAGGGGCAGAGGAGTCTGACTTAGACTGGGGTGCCCAGGATGGCTCCCTGAAGAGTTGGTTCCAAGGATGAGTAAGAGTTAGCTGGGAGAAGAGGGTGGGAATCCAGTTCCAGGAAGAGGTCACTTCTGTGCCCTCTCCTACTACACACACTCATACGTGCTCTGTTTTGAATAGTCCCCAAACTTGGGCCCTCCAGATTGAAGTGAAAAGGTGAACAGTCCATTCCAAGGCCAGTAGAAGTCCTGACTCTGAGTGGTAGGTCCTCTTGTTAGTCTAACCCTCTTCCCTCCTGTTGCAATAGCTACCTGGCCCATCCCTGGGGGGGTGGGAGGTGGAAGGGAGGGGGGACCTTTGGCCTGACCTGGTCCCTCATCCCCTCCCAGCCTCTTTCAAGGGTACCCCCCAGTTCTCCATGCTGGGTCTGCTCCGTCACATCCTGTCCCAGGAGGGCATACCAGGCCTCTACCGGGGGATCGCCCCCAACTTCATGAAGGTTATTCCAGCTGTGAGCATCTCCTATGTGGTCTACGAGAACATGAAGCAGGCCCTGGGGGTCACATCCAGGTGAGGGACCCAGAGCTTCCCTCACTAACATCCCTCCTCAATCATGATGTCCCCTACACCTTAGCCACTGGAGGTGATGGCCCAGCCAGTGGATCCCAGGTGCCCCCCACTCAAACCACCGGATCCCCATACTTCATCCACTGGGTCCTGTATCCCACGTTCCAGATACTAGATCCCATGTTTCCCTGTCTGCCCCCTCCCCTGCCCATACACACCCACCCCCATTGGGTCCTGGACCTCCATGTCTTAACCACTGGATCCCCCACAACTCAGCTAATAAATCCTGAAACCCCAACCACAGGAGCATATACCCCCATGGCTAAACACCCAACCCCAGCTCCCTCAGGCGCCACACCCAGTGTCATACAGCAGCAGATCCCAGACCTCCATGTTTCAAGCCCTGCGTTTCCAAGCTTGGCCACTGGACTCTGGATGTCAAGAAGCCCCAGCCACCAGCTCCTGACAGTGCAGTGCCCAGATCCTGGGACCCCCATCACTGGATCCCTGATCCCTGATCCCCTAGATCCCTCTGCTTCAACCGCCAGATCCCTACATTTCAGCCACTATGCCCTCAACCGCCAACCCACCACATTCCAGATCCGCAAGGCCTGAGACACTAGATTCTGGCTCCTAAAACCACAATTGCGAGAGCCCAGTGGCAGCGCGAGTGGGTCTTGGCAACTGCAGCTGGACACTGAAACCTCACTCACAGGAAACAGGCCCTGACACGTCCCGGCACTGGATCCCCACCCCTTAGCCCCTGGATTCTGACCTGAATCCTCCCGGACACTGGCTTCCAAATGTTCAGATCCACGTGTAGATCCCAGTAGGCTGATCACAGCATTCCAGACCCCACATGTGCCCTGTCTCAGACACACACGAGAGCCCAGAGAACTCGCCAACCACAGCACAAACCTGGGAGCCTGTGGGACCCCCAGGTCCTGGCCTCCTGGCTCCTGATATAGCCAGCTCCGCTCTCATGCCATGCACTGACACTGGATCCCCCACCCCCCCAGCATGGTCACACCTCTGGGCTCTGTGGGGACACTGCTCCTTCCAACACTCGCCCCAACTTTCTGCAGCGTCTTCCACTCCCCCCACCTTATAAGCTGATAACCCCCAGAGCCCGGGTCCCTCTGGAGGATCCAGCTGCTCTTCTTTCTTGGGGGCTGGCAATGAGGCAATCTAAGGTGGGGGGCACATTTAGGGGACCTCCCTCCAGCCCCGGCACTACCAGCCTCTCCTCAGGCTTCAAAGATGGAAGCCAGGAGCAAGTCTACGCAGACCACCCTTCCCGAAACCCAAACATCCAATTATGCAAAACAAACCAAATCCCCAGAACTCATTCCAGGTCTATTTTTCTATGGAGAGGAGCAGACATTGCCTCACTGCCCGCCCCCCACCCTTATGACTAACCCAAGCCCCAACACCCCCCTATACATTCTGCACTTTATAGTTGGACTCTGAGCTTAAGATAACTGAGGGACCCCTCCCTCCACTCCTCCCAAGTCCTTGGAGAACCCCATTAAAGGACTACAGAAGAGGAACTGGGATGTTTGTAGGGGCAGAGGACCTCCTCAAGGCTTCCACCTCTCCCCATCCCCCTGCCTGTGTGTGTTAGTTCAAAGAAAAAGAACAAAAGGAATACATTTTGCAAAGCTCTTTTCATTGTGGTTTTTACTGAATGGGGTGGGCGGGTATGGGACACCCTCAAACTACCCAGAGGGAAGGGACATGGACTGTCTCCCATCACTCACAGTTGGAGGACACCAAGAAATGACTCCTCCTGGGAGCCTCAGCTTCTTCCGTGCCTGCCGAGTGGAGCAAGAAGAAGTCCACATCCAGGAGCCTGTCCGATTTTTCCCATGCTGCTTCTAATTCCACAAGTGCGTTCATTGTCCAGGGCTGTTGTCACAAGTTGCCACCAATGGGGCGTAAAACAACAAATTTTAGATTGATATATTTTTATTGTGGTAAAGTACACATAACAAAAATTTACCATTTTAATCATTTTTTTAAAAAAACACAGAACACTTCATAGTAATGTTCCATTGTCTGGGTGGCCCACATTTTGTTTATCCATTCATCCATAAGTATACACTTGGATTGTTCCTACCCCTTAGCTGTCATGAATGAAAACAACAGAAAGATACCTTCTCACAGCACTAGAGGGTAGAAGTCCAAAATCAAGGTGTTGGCATTTTCATGCTCCCTCTGAAGACTCTTGGAGAGGATCCTTCATTGCCTCTTCCAGCTAGTTGCCAGCAATCCTTGGTGTTATTTGGCTAGTAGACAGACCCAATTTCTGCCTGTCTTTACATGTCCAGACTTTTTCCTGTGTGGACTGTGATAGTCACCCTCCAAGATGTCCCTCAATGATCTCTGCCCCTAGTATTACCATTCTTGCATAATCCCCTCTCTAATTGTACCAAGGTGAGTCTGTATGGCCTAGAGAATACAGCAGAAGTGACAGTATATCACTTCCAAGATTAGATTATAAGAGACACTGTAGCTTCTATCTTGTCTGCATTTTAAGCTGCTGTGGTGTGGGGGAACAATTTGTGATGTAGCTATAGCTCACTGATATACTTGCACATCCATAGATACCATTTTTCACACAAATAAGGGATCAAGCCTTGCTAACTATTTTCTATTTTTACTTCCTTTGAGTCATGTCCTTAGCATTAATACCCAGGAGTAGGTCAAAGGATATTGCTATCTCAGGGTCGTGCCACCAGAAAAATTGTTATGTAATATACACAGCTACCAATGAGGAATTGACGTTACCAATTTTACTGCTGCCACGTTGGCATCGAGTGTTAGCACGTTAAGTTTAATTGGACCAGTTAACATCCATTTCCTTGTCTGCATTCTTTTTTTAAGATTCTATTTATTTACTTTTAGAGAGAGGGGAAGAGAGGGAGGGAAACATCAATGTGCAAGGAATGGACTGGGAATGGAACCAGCAACCGTTCTGCTCACAGCCTGGCACTCGATCCTCTGAACCACACCAGCCGGGGCTCTTATCTGCACTCTTATATCCCATGACTGTATGGCTGGCCTTTAGGAGGCTCTGCAACTGATAGGCAGTGTGACACCAGACAGGCTTCTGTTCTCTTTCTAAGCCTCAGTTTCCACATGAACAAAATAAAGGGTGTTTCCACTGACATCTTTCAAAGGAAAACAATTTCTATTTATTGAATAAGCACTACATACCCAGCTCTGGCTAAGCCCTTTAATGTATTATCTCATTCACTTACCTTAGGACAGATTGAGTTCTGGACATGGGATACAAAAGTGAATGAAAGTGACAAAAGTTTCTGTTCTCATTGATCCTACATTCCAGTGGGGAGAAAAGAACAATAAATAGCATAAATGCGCGAATACGTAGCAGTGCAGAAAATAAGAGCGCTATGGAGAAAAATGAAGGTGAGAAGGGACATAAGAAATACTGCAGGGTAGAGTTTAAATGTTAAATAGGGTGGTCAGAGAAGACCTCAAGGAGGTGACATTTGAATACAGATTTAAAGATGGTGAGGGAGGGAGCCATGGGGTTGTCTAGGGAAAGAGAATCCCAGGCAGAAAAAACAGCCAGTGCAAAGTCCCGAGACAGGACTGTGCCTGGCATGTTGGAGAACAGGGAGGAGGCCTGTGTGGCTGGAGCAGCAAGTGAGGGGTAGAGAGAGGAGGCGAGAGCAGGGAGGAAGGTGGGCGGGTCATGCAGGGCCTTGGGGGCCTTGGGGAGGACTTGGGCTTTTACCAAGGGAGGTGGGAGCCCTGGAGGGCTGTGAGCAGAAGGGGGACAGAACCTGACTTGGGTGGTCACGGGTGCCCTCTGATCGCTGGTGCAGGAAGGACAGACTGTGGGGGCAAGTCTAGGAAGGAGGTTGGGGGAGGGGTGACCGGTGGCGGTGACTGCGCTGGTACAGGTGAGCCGTGATGGGGCTGGAGCAGGACAGTGGCCCTGAACATGGTAAGAAGCAACCAGATTCTGGATATATTTGGAAGGTTTAAGCCCGCAGGATTTGATGACAGTGTGAGCATGAGAGAAAGGGAGGAATCAGGAGTGACATCAAGATTTTTGACCCAAAGAACTTGGAGGATGGAGGTGCCCTCAGTGAAGACTCTCATTGGATCCCATTGACAACATTATCTGGTAGAGTTTATTATGACTCCTGATTTCCAGATGGGGAAACTGAAGCTCAGGGAAGTAAAGCAGGGACTCCAATGTCATGTACCAAGGAGTGTGTGAGATGAGATTCAAACCCAGGTCTTTCTGACTTCAAATCTGTATGTCTTCTTTGGGGACGAACTGCGTCTCTCTCCTCCACGCTCCAGGGCTGGCCCATTCTCTTTCACTTTCATCTTCTGTTGCCATGACAATGAAACACTGTACATTAGCTTCCTATGGCTGCTGTTGTAATAAATGACCCCAAACTTGGTGGCTTAAAACAACACAAATGTATTATTCTGGAGGGCAGAAGCCTGACATGGATCTCTCTGGGCTAAAATCAAGCAGTCGCCATGGCTGGCTCCTTCTGGGGGCTCCAGGGGAGAACCTGTTTCCTGGCATTTTTCCAGCTTCTAGAGGTCACCTGCACTACATGGCCAGCGGCCCCTTCCTCCATCCTCAAAGTCAGCAGTAGCCTGGAAGTCTTTCTCACATCATATCACTTGAACTCCAACTGTTCTGGCTCCCTCTTCCCTGTTTAAAGGAAAGATTATATTGGGTCCCTTTGGTTAATCCAAAAAAATCTGTCCATCTCCCCATCAGCTTGTTAGTAACCTAGATTCCACCTGAAAACTTCATCCCCTTCCTCATGTAACATAACACATTCACAGGTTTGGAGGGATTAGGATGTGGACCTTTTTGGAGGGAGACCCTTACTCTGCCCACCATATCCAGCTAGGTCACAAAGGCCTCTGTGACCTCATTATCCCCTGGGGCCAAAATTGCAAGGCACCCCTCTCCCACCTGGTTACTGGTAGGCAAACCTCTTGCCAGACACTTGAACTTCAATGACTCTCTAGCTGCCATGGGAGCCAAACCCGAGGAAGCAGAGAAGCCTTGCTCAAGAGGCCAGACCCTGTTTAAGAGGGTCAAGGGCTTACTCACCAAAGCTTCGCCCCCACTCTCACCCCCACCCCCATCCATCTTCTGGAGCCCAGGCTGTACACACGTGTATGGGTATGTGTTTGGGCATGTGCATGAAAACAACCTGGAGCATCTCCCATCACAGCAGGTGAGTTTGGGAACTACAGGTCACCTGCTATCTCTAGCTAGAACTTCAGGGGGAGAAAGCCATACTGCCCACCCCCTCTGCATGGTCCATTCCCTCCGAGCAGACCCTAGAATTTCATGAAGCAGTGAGGACCAGGGCGGGCCTTTTACAAGGACTGGATCTGGAGATGGCAGTGGGGTGGGGTGGGCGGGCAGTTCCAGCCACACTGAGCATGGCAGGAGCTGGGTCTGCCCTGCAGGTGCTTGACACAGGAGAGCAGCTGATGGTCCCTGTGGATGTCCTGGAAGTGGATAACGAGGGAGCCTTGTGGAAGTTTCTGCTCTCAGGAGCCATAGCTGGAGCCGTGTCTCGCACTGGCACGGCCCCTCTGGACCGTGCCAAGGTGTACATGCAGGTTCGTGAGGGTGGGGGCCACCACACTGAAGCCACTGGGGTGCAGATGGACAGAAGCGGAGATGGCGGAGTTCAGGATGGGGGTGGGGGTGCAACGGGAAGCAGGCAGGAGGGTGGGGTTGGGACATGGGCCGGAGTTAGGAGGCTGAATGGAGATGGAGTAGAGGTTTGAATTGGGAATGTCAATGGAGCTGATGTGGATGGGGCATGGCGCTGAACTGGGCACGGAGTTGGGACAACGGTACCAGGGACAGGGTTGGGGCTGGGGACCAGGGAATTGGGGGCAGGGGTCTTTGGATGCCTTTTAAGACAGAGTAGGACTGAAGAGGAGAGGAAGATGGATGAGACGGAAATGTGGCCCAATGTTGGGTTTGGGTCTGCACGGGGTTAGAGAATTCTAGGACTAGCCAGGGAAAGAGTTGGAGAAGGAATGGGGATGGGCGGGGTTGTGTGGCTGGGGACAGGATGGGCTTGAGTTCCAAGGTGGGATGGGAATAAAGATCGGGTGGAGGACTTCTCACAGGGCCAAGGGCCTCCCTACCCCCCAGGTCTACTCCTCCAAGACAAACTTCATGAATCTGCTGGGGGGACTACGGAGCATGGTCCAAGAGGGGGGCTTCCGTTCCCTGTGGCGGGGCAATGGGATCAACATACTCAAGATTGCCCCTGAGTACGCCATCAAGTTCTCCGTCTTTGAGCAGGTAGGGGATGTCCGCTTTCCCCAGTCCCACCCTCAAGCCCTCACCTCTCCTATACCCCACCCCCAAAGCTCAGAGCATTATCCAAGACACACACCATTCACCCTCCAAGTCCCAGAGCTCTCCCTCTGAATGGGTTTCAGGTAGGAAGATGGCCACTTATTTGCTCTTCTCTCCTGTCCCAGTGTAAGAATTACTTCTGTGGAGTGCATGGGTCCCCACCCTTTCAGGAACGTCTCCTTGCTGGCTCCCTGGCTGTGGCCACCTCCCAGACACTCATCAACCCCATGGAGGTAAGGGAATGCCTGCCTTACAGAAGAGGAAACAAGATGAAAATAAGTTGCCAGCTGCTACTGCTTCCTCCTCCACCTTCCCCCTCCTCTTTTCCTTCTTCCCTTTCATGTAAGATATGTCAGACTTTTATTCCAGATGGCTACCTGGTCACCCCAACACTGCCTAATGAATGGGTTCCATCCTTTCTTCTCCAGTGATTGCCACCTTTGTAACTTACAAAATTCCTACATATATTTGGGTTTATTTTAGACCTTTCTCCTCTCATTGTTCTGCTGTCTGTCCATGCACTACTACCTTCTAGTTGTTGGGGTTTTTTTGTTTTTTTTTTAATGAATAGGCTTTATTTTGCAGAGAAGTTTTAGGTTGGCAGAAAATTTGAGCAGAAAGTACAAAGAGTTCTCATATACCTCTCCCCACATAGACAAGGTTTCCACTATTATTCACATCTTGCATTTGGGTGACATTTGTTAAAATCAATGAGCCAATATGAATGTTATTTTTAACTAAAATCCATAGTTGACATTAGAATTCACTCTTTATGTTGTACATTCTATGGGTTTTGACAAATGACAAATGTATAATGACATGTGTCTGTCATTACAGTATCATACAGAATAGTTCCACTGCCCTAAAAATCTCTGCTACCTATTCACCCTACCTCCTTCCCCCTGAATCCCAGGCAAGCGCTGGTTATTTTACTGTCTACATAGTTCTGCCTTGAGGCTTGGTATTATGTTTTATCATTCTGCACCCTTCTCTCTTTTATCTCCCAACATCATCTATTGGTTTCTGTTTTTAACGGATGTTCAATTCATAAATAAGTTAGAGATTGCTGCCATTTTTATAGTGAATCTACATATTCAGGAATACATTCATTTGTTCAAGTCTCCTTTTATGTTCTTTAATGGTCTTTTAAAAGTTTTCTTTATATAAAATTCTTGTTTTCATCTGTTTAAGTTTCCTCCAAAATGTATTTGTTTTCATTGGCTGCATAACAATTACCAGATTCAATTAGCTTAAAATGATAGACTTTTATCTCACTGTTTCTGTGGGTCATGTCTGGGCACTGACTAGGCAGCTCATCTGCACGGGGTTTCGTCAGGAGGAAATCAAGGCGTCAGCTGGGCTAGTAACAAAACCATCTAAGGCTCCTCTGCCAAGCCTCCTGGTTATTGGCAGGATCAGTTGCTTATGGTTGTAGGACGGATATCCTCAGCTCCTAGAGGCCAGCCACTGTTCCTGCCACGTGGTCCTTTCTACAGCAGTTTGCTTGTCGCAGACCAATTGTAGAGTGTCTCTGATGCTTCCTGTCTTTCTACTCCTGTCTCTGGCAATAGACCTCTTTTAAAAGGCTTGCCTGATTACATTGGGCCCAGCAGGACAATTTCTTCTGATTCTTAAAGTCAACTGTTTAGGGGTCTTTATTACATCTATTACAAAATCCCATCACCTTTGTCATTATCATGTAACCTGATCATGGGAGTGACATCCCATTGTGTTCACAGGTCTAGCCTACATTCAAGGAAGTGCGGGGGGCGGGGGGGGGGGGAGCATTATAACAGAGCAATGCATATCAGAGGGCAGAAATCTTGGGGATCACCTTAGAATTTTGCCTACCACACTTGGTGTTGTCTTTTGCACAACTGCATAATTGCCAGTATTTTGGAATTGGGGTATTTCATTAAAATTCTGATTTCTGACTCTTTCAGAAAACTGGCAGATCTGGCCACCGGGAGGGTGCACTCCCATGGCACTATGTTTGGCTGGTGTTAAGTGAAAGCTGCCACAGACCTTATTTGACTCAAGTCACTTCCCTTCTCCTTTTAGCCTCTGTCAGCACTTGAACTTCTGAACCCTGTGTGGAGAGCATACACAGGCCCAGGGATGGGACAGGGAGCTCTTGGTTGAACACCCAACTGTGCATATTTCTGAGGGTTCCTCCTTTGTAGACGGGGACAATGGCCACTGCTGAGGGTCATTGAGAAGATTAAAATCAAAGGAGCTGCCCCACTCCTCACCTTCCCTAGGTCCTGAAGACACGGCTAACCCTGCGCCGGACAGGCCAATACAAGGGGCTGCTGGACTGTGCCAGGCAGATTCTGGAGCAGGAGGGGACCCGCGCCCTTTACCGTGGCTACCTGCCCAACATGCTTGGCATCATCCCTTATGCCTGTACCGACCTGGCCGTCTATGAGGTGTGAGTCCTTCAGAGGGGGTGGCAGGGTAAACCCAGGCCCTAGCAAACTTCCTCCTGTCCCCCTTTCTCTTGCAGATACTCAGGTGCTTCTGGCTGAAGTCAGGCAGGGACATGGCAGACCCTAGTGGCCTGGTCAGTCTGTCATCAGTGACACTGTCCACAACCTGTGGTCAGATGGCCAGTTACCCACTAACTTTGGTGCGCACAAGAATGCAGGCTCAAGGTCAGCCTGGCCCCTAGTGGCTACTGTGTACGTTGCCCCGCAACCCCTCTACCAACCCTCTAAACTTCCTCATATCCCCAAACTCTCCACATCTGATCCTGGCCACCTTCACTGACCCCCAAACCCACCAAGATGTACACTGATCCCCAAATCTGATCCTACCCCTCAAATTAATACTACAAATCACTAAAATGAAAATCCACTTTACAAATGACTCCCACAAACTCCTGCCAAATGTGACCCAGTACCCCATACTGACCTCAAGAAATACAATCCCAAAATTACCTCCTAACTTCTCCAAATCAGAACCAGCCCTCAATTGGCTCCAAAAGTCAAAATGCTTCCAAAATTCACCAAATCTAACCCTTAGATGTCCCAAAATTCATAACCACTTCCCCTGCTACCCAGGACTGTCCCCAAATGCGACTCTCTCAAATGGACTCTCAGCACCTAAACCAATTCTCAAATATCCGAACTGTTAGGTGGTCCTAAGGAAGGTGATCTTTAGCTGACCACCTTCACCTTGAAAATGTCCCCGAACTATTCCTTAGCCCACTCCCCCAAATCTCTAGCAGATCTTAGAAGTTCTCCCTTCCAAATAGGCTGGACTGTTTTTTAAGATGTTCCCAAAAAAGAAACATGGGAATTCCTGCCCAAATTGATCTCCTCATTCTCCTCAAACTTACCAATTTCCTCTAAAAGTCTTCCAAATTCCTTTCCAACTGATCCCCCGGAACCCTAGCCCTGGCTTCACACCCCTAACATTCCAGCCCCGCAAGAGACCAGCTCATCTCTGAGACACTGAGCTTGTTCCTATCCCTGCAGACACTGTTGAGGGTTCAAACCCCACCATGTGCGGAGTATTCCGGCGGATTCTGGACCAGCAGGGCTGGCCTGGCCTATACCGAGGTATGACCCCCACCTTACTGAAGGTGCTGCCGGCAGGTGGCATCAGCTACATCGTGTATGAAGCCATGAAGAAGACTCTGGGTGTATAGGCAGTGAGCTAAGCAACACGCCCTGGGCCGAGATGGACAGGAGGATCTAGTGTCCTTTGGCCCCAAAGAGCCCTCCAGGCTTGGGCCCCAGAGAAGCTTTTTGGGGGTTTTTTGTTTGTTTTTGTTTTTGTTTTTTCAGGGAAAGCAGGCTGGGGGGTGGGGTGTCTGGGTCAGAAGATGCTCTCCAGGATGCCGCCTGAAATTATTATGGACTCCATTTTGGCTCATAGTAGTCTGTCCTGGCTCTAGGGAAAAATGATGAACATGAAGTCAAACCAGGAATAAAGTGATGGTTTCTGCTCTACATGTCTGGGATACCTAGGTCCAGGTGGGGAGCTGTGGACTTGGATACTTGGGTCCAAGGGAGGAGCTAAGTATCTGTGCTCCCTAGGTCCCAAGGGGTACTGGGTATCTTGGGCTCTGTCCTGAACAGGAAGCCTGGATGATGCCTTGGTCCAGGAAATAACGTGAGGACCTAGGATCCGAGGTTAAAGCTTGGATCCTGGGACCTTATGTGAAGCACGTGTGAGGTATGGGGTGTGGGATTAGGGTCTGAGATCCCTCAAGGAACCAATGGCCCCAAGACCCTTTAGTTCAGGAGGGGAGCTGGTTCCATGAGTCCTGGAAGAGAAGGGGGTTCTAGATCCCTGGGTGAAGAAAGAAGAGAGGGGTCAGGGGTTCCCTGGATTTCCTTCTGGTCTCACGCCACCTGAACTCCAAGTCTCCAAGGCCTCAAGCAGGCCACGTGCCTGGCCTACACAACCAGGCTCCAGGGGCGCTAACCCTGACGTCAGGCCCGAATTCCGGCACCGGTCGCCACTTCCTACGTAAGCTGCCACTCACTTTCGTTTCCGCTAATCCCCGCTCGCCGTCTGGTGACCGACTCCGCCTCAATGCAGCTTCGCTTTCACTGGCTCCCACCAAACTAGGCACCTTTACTTCACTTCCATTTGTCCGTAGCGGTGTCAGTCACCTAACACCTACCCTCATCGCCCAGCCATTGGCTTAGTAGTCAAGACTAGAAAAGGATTCTGGTTAACATGGAAAGCCAGCCCAAACCCAAGCGCATCACCTAGAACTCGTCAGGGATTGGATTAAACCGATTGCCAATTTTTACAAGAACCGCCTTCCACGTTATTCATTGGCTTGTGTTCTAGGAGCCACTTGTTAGGCTCCTCCTTCCTGTCCGCTTGACTCTTCGGAGCGGTCAATCGGTTCTGAAGCCGCCCCGCGATTCTGGAACTCCCGCTTCATTGGGCCTCCCGCCTTCTCGGATCGCCTCGATTTGCCAACCTTGCGCCGGCAGCCCGCAGCTCATTGCCTCCAAGAGCTGTCAGTCACATGGCGCCTCCCGCCCATTGCCTCTCACGGCACTCCGATTGGTCGCTCGCCTAAAAAGCCCGCGATTGGTGGCTGGGGAGCGGCGGCCGCTTCCCACTGGCCTGGCTTCACTGTCCGTCACGGCGGCGGGAGGGGGCGTCCCTCTTTCCCCTCGTCGTCTTCCCTGCCGCTGGGTTCCCAGAGTGCTCCGCGGCCGTGTGGAGCGAGGCCTTGTTCCCGCGTTGAGCCGCCGCCGCTGCTACCGCCGCCGCCTCCTCCTCAGCTTCAGCCTCCGCTCCAGGCCCGGCCCCGCCGCGCCATGTCGGACTACAGCACGGGAGGACCCCCGCCCGGGCCGCCGCCGACCGCCGGCGGGGGCGGGGGTTCTGGGGGCGCCGGGGGAGGCCCTCCACCGGGCCCGCCAGGCGCGGGAGACCGGGGCGGCGGGGGCCCGGGCGGGGGGTCGGCCGGGGCCTCTTCGCAGCCCCCAGGCGGGGGCGGCCCAGGAATTCGCAAAGACGCCTTCGCCGACGCTGTGCAGCGGGCCCGCCAGGTGAGGAGGCCGCGGGCCTGAGGGGCGGGCGGGGGAGGGGGCGGGGTCACGTGCGAGCGCGCGCGCGGGGTCGCGGGTGAGGGGTTGCCGGGGCCGCCGTGGGTTCACGTGGGGCAGTAGACTGGGGCCTGGGCCGCCCCAGCTGCCTCGAATGGGGTTCCCCACGGGTGACTTCCTGCACGGGGAAGGGGCGTCCAGGGGATTCCCAGGGCAGATCCCTGGGTGTGAAAGGGCCCCGAAGTGCAACACCTCACTTTGGGGGACGCGCCCCCCCCCCCAACGCCCTGCCTTAAGACACGCGAAGGCATGCTCCGCTGTCCTGGAGGTAAAGGGTCCACTTTACCGGGATATGCATTACTTTGCTCCCATCTCCCCATCAGGGCACAGAGCTCTGTCCCCAGCCTGGTCCCGTTTCAACCCACTCTCCAGTAAGAAGGGACTTTGGGGGAAAACACGTCCTTCTTGAGTGTGTAAAGAGAAACATTTTGCTGCCAGAGTGGCCAAGCACTTAAACGAAATGGGGAGGGTGGGCGTAGGGGCTGGTTCTTTTTTGATGCTACCGGTGGCTTGAAAGCGTAGTGTCTATGTTTTTAGGAAAGAGAGCAGGGTCCCGCCACAGTTTTTTGAGTATTGATGGTAACATGGAGGTGTCATATGCGGATGGGACTGACTCCCCAGAGCCTGAAAGGGGAGGAGGCCCTTAGAATGAATGGGACGACTTTGGCTTTTCTGGAAGCAGACCCTAGCCTGACCTGGGTAGTTCCAATGCCTCCAGGGCAAAGTGGAAGGTCCCGTTAGGTGAGCGTCCAGCTCCGCCCATTGTGATCTGTGCTTTCTTACCTTTCTAACCTCGAGTGGGATAGTGTTCTGACGTGCACTTCATCTGCCTGCCCACTGAACTGTCTTGATTGGGGAGCAGCTATAATTGGGGGAGTTGGTGCTACCTGTTGGGGTGAGACAAGGCCCCATCTGGGCAGACGAAGAGCTTTGGCCAGAAGTGTTTAAAAGAAAAAAATGAGAGAGGTGAAAAGATAGATCCTTAGTTCCTGGTTTGTATTTCTTTGGAAAACTTGTAGTAATTCCACAGACAGACTCTGGTGTTAAGTTTGTTGGATTGGGGTTTATTTGAAGTTGCTCTTCATGTGGCTAAACTGTAACATGTATTCCAAAAGGGTCTTTTGTTTTCCTCAAATGAAGGTTTCAGATGCCTTGAAGCAAAAACTTCCCTGAGATTTGTTTCACAAATGCAAAGATTCGAGGGTGAGGGTGATAATACTACTCAGCATCCCAGGAGAACCGGGCTACAGTCAAGCTTTTTGGTTCTCTGCGGCCCTCCCTTGTAGAGATGACCTGAGGACCCTCTGTGGCACCAAGCTTCTTTCTTTTACCCCAGAACAAGTTAGTGTGGGTTACAGTCTGGCCACAAACAATTTAGGCCCAAATCCCATTGAGAAAGGAAGTTTTTGAAATTCCTGGATAACTCTTGAACTCTGAGGCCTTAGGTGAAAATTCTTTCTATAGTATCCTAACCTACAGGGCTTTTCCTATATCGGGGAAGCTGACTCCCCGATACAGGAAACAGCGAGACCAGAGAGCAGGAAAAGTTCTGAGAAGTTTATCTGAGCCCCATGCAAGTTGCTTTTTGGTGCTAATTCTATTCTGCTTAAAACTTCATCTCTAGATTGCGGCCAAAATTGGAGGCGATGCTGCCACAACAGTGAATAACAGCACTCCTGATTTTGGTTTTGGGGGCCAAAAGAGGCAGTTGGAAGATGGAGGTAACTACCTGCTGGGAGGAAGGGCAGGGGGTAGAGAGTGAAGTGCCTTTGTCTGAATGTGGTTCAGAGTTGGGGAGGGGAGCCTGCTGCCATTCGGTCTTTTAAAACCTCAGCAATCCCAGCTTTGTTCATTCTTTTTGTTGAGCCACCGTCCCGAGGTATCAGATGGCTCAGAGGAGAGCAGGTTGACTGTGGCTAGGTCCAAGTTGTAAGTTCTCAAGATTGTTCCTCCCCTTCTGGTAGGCTGGGGAAATGCTGGTACCTTTATTGAGGCCCCTGGTAAGTAAAGTTTGGCTGGCCCTGGGGCATGCGGCATTACCCACAGTAGCCAGAGTGATCAACTAGGTGGCCAGCTGATTTCTTTCAACCAGGACCCTGCTTCCTAAGGCAGGGCTAGTCCTGAACTGGAAGGATTCAGAAGCCACCATCATTGTTCCCCCATTAAAAAGGGCTTTTTTACCCTTGGTGCTGGCGGTAGGATTGTGAAGTCAGGCCTTATTTAGGGGTTGGTCTCTGCTGCTTTCCTGTCTTGGCTCTGATGTTGGGGGGTAGCAGAAGGGGGGATTGTTCGCCAGGATGTGTGGCACCAGCATCAGACTTGAGGCAGCTGTGGGTGGGTGGGTGGTTGCTGCATCTGACATCCTCTCTCTTTCACAGACCAACCGGAGAGCAAGAAACTGGCTTCTCAGGGAGACTGTAAGTCCATTGGGTGACACAGACAGAGGGCAGCTTCAGGATCTTAGGAGGTTGTTAGGAGTTGGGAGCTAGGAACACCAAGCACCTGTCCTTTATGAAGGCTCTGGGTGTTCGTCATGTCATCAGAGGTTCGTGACCTGTGGGGTTCCCATCGCCCCCGGAAATTGAGGTAGAAATACCTGGTGCCTGTGCTGTTGCGAGGAGGGTCCATCATGCACCAGTGCTCAGTAGGGTTTAAGGACTGTAAATAGTGCTAGTTGCCCCCATGGAGGCAGGAGCACCTAGGGCCACTGGTGTTGGGGGTTCCAGAGGGAAGCCAGGCCAACCTTTCCTTTGGATTTTCTCTCTGCAGCCATCAGTTCTCAACTTGGACCTATCCATCCTCCCCCCAGGTAAGTTGTGATTTGGAGAATACATCGTTTCCTTGTCTGTGAGCTGTCTATTGTCTTTCTTACTGACTTGGGAGAGAAGAGCTCTGTCTGGGGTTCCCGCACCATTTAGGACTGTTCCATGAAAGGGCTGACTGAGAGATAGAGGACACTGCCTTCGTCTCTGTACTTAACCTGTACAGAGCTGGAGGGAGGAGAGAGTTGTGGCACTGTGTTGTAATGATAAAAGGGTGGTCCCTGAGCCCTGGTGCTTCCTTTGTTGAG